GTTACCTAGTGTGTTACCTGTGTGTTACCTGTGTGTTAAGCAAGTGTGTTAGCTGTGTTTCCTGTGTGTTACCTGTGTGTTAGCTGTGTGTTTCCTGTGTGTTACCTAGTGTGTTAGCTGTGTGTTAGCTGTGTGTTTCCTGTGTGTTAGCTGTGTGTTTCCTGTGTGTTAGCTGTGTGTTACCTGTGTGTTAGCTGTGTGTTTCCTGTGTGTTACCTGTGTGTTAGCTGTGTGTTTCCTGTGTGTTAGCTGTGTGTTACCTGTGTGTTAGCTGTGTGTTTCCTGTGTGTTACCTGTGTATTACCTGTGTGTTAGCTGTGTGTTTCCTGTGTGTTAGCTGTGTTACCTGTGTGTGTTACCTGTGCAGATGCTGAAGGCTTGTTCTTTCTGTTCTCTTGGTTCTGCTTGTTCTCTGCAGGTCCAATCACTGAACAGTACAACCCATCTGGTCAGGGTCCTGAAGGTGTGTACTCTTCATTATGTGATGTAGCCCACCTGAGAAACTTCTGAAATATACACCTGGTACAAAAAATATCATGCTGCTTTTTTTGAGCGCATATTGGTGTTTCATGATGAAGACAACAGTTCCTCTCTGGGAACCCTTCAGGTTAGCATTTAACATCTAGCGTGACCCAGGCACCGCAGCAGTGTGCGAGTGAATTATTCTTTGTTGGTGTCGAAGCTCTGATGATTAATCAAGGTTTAAACTCTGTTGAAGGACTGAATTCTTCTTGTGGATTTCCTGTCAGTTTTAAAAGTTGAATCTTTTTGTTCCAGGTGCAGAAAATGTGGAACTGGAGGATACCTGCTGACTTCCACATCAAGCCGCGAGTTCGATTCCTGCGCTACCGATTCCAATGTACCGACCAATCAGCATGGCCCAGGAAGTCAGAACCCTCCCACTAGGAGTAGCCCCGCCCCCTGTGGACCAGCAGCCCGTTGGTGTTTTTGTATTTAAGTTTTGTTCATAGATGTTCATGTTAGAGAGATAAATGAGTTTCTTACCTGAAGAGGTGTTACCTGATGACATCACACAGGACGTGACATCATCTTCAACGTCAGCAATGTCAACAATACAATAAAGTTTTGTCTATTTTGAACATCATAATGAGAAATGGTATTTTGTTTAAACTGGCTAATTTATAAAAGAGAGTTTATAAAGGTGTGTAGTTTATAAGAGGGAGAGAGAGAGTTTATAAAAGAGAGTTTATTAGAGTTTGAAACAGCAGAGAAACAGCTGACACGTCACACACTGATGACGTCACACACTGATATTATATCACAGATTAATTTGATAAACTTCTCAGAAAATATTCGGACTCTTCAGTTTATATATTTTACACAAAAGACAAACATGCAGAAAACCCCGGTCACATGGTGAGGCCTGTTTCTGATTGGACTGTGGATCTAAAGGGAAACAGTAGAAGAAGACGCTGTCGCCAAGGTGACGGGTGAGGTCAGAGGTCAGAGTCCAGGTGGGCGGGGCTTAGCAGGGTGGAGGCGGGGTCATCAGTGGGGGGATCAGAGATGAAGAAAGGCTCCGCCTCCAGCTCCAGCAGCGAGGGCAGGTAGGCCCCACCGCCTTCCCCTGTGTACTGCACCAGCTGCCCCCCTGCACCAATAAGAGAGCAGCAAGGAGTCACATGTCTACTACCACTACAAACACCACACTACATTTACTGAAATATAAATACAAAATAGGTGTGTGTGAGTGTGTGTGTGTGTGTGTGTGTGTGTGTGTGTGTGTGTGTGTGTGTGTGTGTGTGTGTGTGGTCGTGTGTGTGTCGTGTAGTGTGTTGTTCGTTCGTGTGTGTGTGTGTGTGTGTGTGTGTGTGTGTGTGTGTGTGTGTGTGTGTGTGTGTGTGTGTGTCGTACGTGTGTAGTGTGTCGTTACGTTACGTTACGTTA